AGTGCGTGACAGAAGTCGAAACAATGATATCCATAAAAGGATAAGCAAGCTAAAGTGACAATAGGCTAATTGCATAGCTCGAACAACCGATAACCGACAAGGAAGAAAGATTTTTGAGTGGCGACCCTGTACGGGCAAACGTAGAACAGGCGACCTTCCGCTAGATGGAGTGACTTATGGCAGTCTATGGGGAAAGCCTATATTGAGCACTAGATAAATAATGGTTGAGAGGACGATGTTGATAAAAGTAGTAATAAAATAATAAAATTCCGAAATATAGAATAAATCAGTGTTTTGTTTTATTAGTCACACTAATATAAAACAGTACCTAGTGCATGTGCCTACTAGATATTATTGTCGTATCACAAATTTTATTTTTAAATCCAGATTTTTTAAATATTTCTCCTTAAAACCTTTTGTCTCTACAATAAAATAAGTTTAAATATATCTGATTAAATTTAGCAGTATCTAGCTTACGACGATGAGGGGTGGAAACTGTTGAGGGAAGTCTTTGTTCAGTACCGGGGTATCACAGACTATGAATGGACGAAAGTAGGAATGGATAGTTGGTTATAAATGATTTTAAAATCAAATTTCTATTAGAATAAAATCTATGAACAAAAAACATGTTTATAATATGATGTATAAAATAAAGTAAAATTTAAAATTCAATATTTAGCTAATGTATAGTGAAAAAATATTTACTTTTTTTTTATTCTGCAGCATCATTTCCATAATTTCAATAATTGGCTGGTTATAAACAATTTTGCACATCCAACTCATTACAATGGGCAAGATTAAGAAAAAAGAATGCGAAATATCTACTTCAGGTAAATTCAAATTACTCTTTGTTTTACTGCACATATTTCTATATTATTGTTAATTATTAATTTTTTATGTTCAATATAGCTTCTTGTCAACATTTGCCTTGGACGACATTAGAAATCATCAGGAAGAGTAACGCCAGAATGACCAAAGATCTCACCACAGTCAACATTTGATTTAAATTAAACTTCAAGCCACAGGTTCCTGCTATGTCGACGCCAGTTATTTTTAAGTGCCTTGAAAGTCCATATCCAACTTAAAACAATTATTAAAGTAACAAACGCGAAAGCTATTACAAGCACTTGAAACACGTCAACGTTGTAGTATATAGTATATTTCTTCCCCATGCTTTTAACGACCGTTTGTGATATGGCAAACGACGAGGAATAACAATACCAGTATCACTATGGAACCAATTATCATCAGCAACTGATTGAGATCGAATGTCAGGCCGCAACTACTTCCTACTTTACCCATAGCTCCTTTATGCTATTTCTCTAGAAACCTTCTTAAAACATTTTTTGTTTTGTTACATTTGTATTTAGTATTTAGTATGTTAATTTTCATAGCTATTTTCTAAATATCGTTGGTTCGTTAGACATTTACGATTTTGACATCTTTAAATTAGAAACACGTGTTTTAATCATTTATTTTGACAGTTTGAATTTAATTTAATTTATAGTAATAAAAAAGTATGAATGGATTTTTTTTTTTTAAATTTAGTTTTTAAATCTTACAAGATGGCATACAATTTCGGCATGGTTTTTGAAGGACTACTCCTTTAAGATTTAAAAGTTTGAACTACATATAAATAAATAATTTTGATTTATTTGATAACTGTCGTGTGTAATTGTGTTGGTTCTTGTTTAAGTTAAAATTTTCAAAAAGGCTTTCTTACCGGATTCTTACATTATAAAATACATTTATGTTTTAAATTTCAGCTTTCTAGATTTAGTAGTTTTTTGTGTTCGTTTATTCTCAAGACAAATGATTTTACATGTATAGATAAAGCAATTAATAAGATGCGATTGGCATATTTAAAAAAAAGGTAACTTACTACTTACTTACTTAACTAAAAATAATTACATAAATTAAAATTATTTTTTATTGGAAGCCACACTGTTTTATTATTATTAAATTTGCATATTTCAATATACTGTATACTCAATAAACAGACGAGATAAAATATATAAACTTAACATTTTATATAATAACAAAATTAATAACAATTTCATACTAAATAAATTACTCATAGATATAGATAAACATAGATGACGCAAGTAGTAATTAAATCAGTATAAACTTCATTTAAATGAAAATTAAAACTAACAACACGTAAAATTTTAAATATTTCATGATGCTTCTATTAAACTACTTAACTCATAGATTAAGGATAATAAGTACCCTACGACTTACCTTAATGTTATAAAATGTAATTGCTGACAGCAAATCCTCTTTTGTACTTAAACTTTACAGAAATAGCATCTTCAATGCCATTTTTTGTCAATTTTCTAAACTTTTTTCGACATAAATTAAATTTATGTCGAAAGAAGTTAGAGTTGCAGTAACTTCGAGTTTAAATTTATATGGAGTAAATTAAGCTCTATTGTATTAAGTAAGGAACAAAATTGACGTGAAAAGGAGGTATATGCAATTACGACATCTACATAAATCTGTATCTATGTAATTATTATTAATAAACAAAAATAAATAAATAAAAATTCTGACTACATTTAACAGGAAGAATTAAATTAATTAAAGCCTCAATGTAGTCTTCTGTAATCACTCAACCAGATGTTAACTTACAAAGGTCGACGATCAGATCGAAGTTCTTGATGGGTCTTGATCTATAATATTTCTTTCACTTTTAAACCTAGCACTATCACGAAATTTTAAATTCAGGCTTCTGATTTTCCGTATCTGAAAAATATATTCAAATAACATCATCAACAAGTAGTAATTATTTTCGTAAATTATTTAATATATAAAAATATTTACAGACTATAATAGGCTATACGACTACATGTTAGTAACAGAATACCTTGTAAACTATCTTAATAAAAACCATAAGATTGTAATATGGCCATTTAGCCAACGTATAAACTTATTGTCTTACACACAGATGGTAATTCATATATTTATATCGTATATATATTCTATTATCCTACTAGGAATTATAGTCGTGAACATAATAATTTTTTCTGCTATAATTTTATTTTTAATCTATTTTAGCCAGCTCCTTCGTACGCGTGGATTTTAGAAGTTAGAAAACTAATGAAGTAGACCAGTTTTAGATTATGTATCAAGATAAAATATATGACAGATTTTATGTTAGACTTTGAAGAATAAAATTGTGGAGATTACATTAAATTCGATTCAATAGTTTTTATATGATGCCGGAACAAACGTACAGAGACATAAAACATTTCTAAACAAAAATATTGCTTTGATAGCTATTGCATTTTGGAATTATTTTTTTATATATCATCCATATACAGACATTATATATTGACAATTTTATTATATTATTAAGACTAGTAGTAACCTTCGGATATACTCACATAAGTTAAAATAAGATATGGTCTACGTATTATTCTAGTGTCTTGGTACAATCCGTTTAACAGTTTAAAATTAATTTAGTAACGAAAATCCAAACAAATCACCACTTTGTGTATAGTGAATTCGTCTCCTCTAAATATGAACAAAGTCATAAATATCATAGTACATAAGTTGTATCGTTTATAGCTACATGGACTAGCATTCTTTCCTTGAAAATGTTTGTTTAACTAAAGCTTTTATTGGGTGGTTTCCTAGTAAGTAACCATATAATAAAGTAGGTAATATTTACTGATTGTTTATTAAAATGTAACTTTTATATGTAAGAGTGTTCGGATTTAACACTTATTTAAGGTAGCATAGCGAGGTTTGTTTCTCTGAAAAGACGATGTAGTTTAGTCAGTTTAGAGTCGCGACCGTGACCTTAAAATGACGTCTTTTAAAGTCGCAAACGTCACAATACTACCTGGGTTGCGACAGTAATTTACACTGGTTAACTTACCCTTTATAACCCAAAACCCACATATTTACATCCCAATACCATATTTACATGATAGTAATAATTATAAATTGATAACCCAATAAGCTATCATGCAGCTGAGAAATCTCTTGCACCGGTGATAATTTTATTATTTAGAAATTTTAACATATTATTAGATAAACAAGCGGCTTAAATCAAGCGTATCAATGTTGTTTGTGAAATTGATTGAGTTTGACTACGTCACTTCATACGCTTAATTCATAATTTTTTCTTCTGTAAATTTGGATACAGTATTTCTTCATAACATACTTTACATTTTAAATCATTAAGTAAATATGTAAAGTGTTCTGTGTTGTAACGTCAATTGTTTTCTGTGAGTAATCTATTTTTCTAATCGATTGTTTCTGCTAGGTATTGTTTTGTAATTCGTTGGAGGGATCAGAGAATTCATAAGTCAAAGATCTATCAGCTATCGTGACCAATTGTAGTAGAATTCTTGATGAAGAATATAATAAAAAATTAACTGAAGATAGTGGCTTTGGTATTGTTATTACAAGAAAATAAATGCAACCGGTATTTACCTCACTCGACGTCTTGGCTAAATTGCATTGGTGATGAGTTTACTGTAAGCGTCAGTAATGTCTTCACATCTCACCATTAATTTGTTTTTAATTCAAGTAGTGAGATTAATATTCATACTATTAACGATCATGCGACACATTTTTAATTTTTGTATACTGTATACGTTAAAGATGGTTTTTTTGAACGTATAGTACGAGATTATCTTCGCCAATTTATTTACTTATTTATTTAAACTTTATTGACCAATGAAATGTGACATAAAGGCAGATTTAATGCAAAATAAATTGATTCTGTTAATTATTTGCAATCGAGGATTTATTACCTTCTTATAATCTAATATTATTTTATTGTAATTGAAGTAGTTGCTGCAGCAGTGCAAAATCTTTTATTAAACTACTTTATCAATAAAGCTGGTAAATTTTGCACTTGATAAAAGAAACATTAACTTTTTAAAAATGATTTTTTCTAATTTACAATTAACTTTTCTTATTATTATATAATTATTTAAAAAATATTGAGTTAGTGATATGAATTGTGTTTCATAATAATCAAACTATTTATTTAAATGCCAAAACTTTATTTAGGAACCAAATAAAATTATACAAACCCCGCAATCTACTTAAAAAAACTAAATCCTTGGACACGGTAACATTTTTTGACTAAGAAATCGCATACAATGCTATTAATTACAACACATTATTTATTTTTGGTTTTTGAACAACTAGGTACTATTCAAGTATCCTAAAATAACAAAATATAAATATATTTAAAAAAAATGCCTCAACCGAAAAAAGTCTTTTCTATCAATTTAATAGAAAAGATTATTTTCCTATCTTTGTAATACGTAATGATAAAAATTATAATTTTATGACATAATTTCCATTCAATCATCTTTATTTCTATAAGTCTATAAAAGAGATAAGCAATCTTAAATTCAGCACAATCATTCCTCGTACTTAAAGTAGCATGCTATTTTATTGTTAGATTTCTCCAGCATTTTGGAAAATATCATTACATCAGGATTACTCAACATTATCATAATCAAAATCTACTGACATATTCCTCTTTATATTATAATTAGGCCACATCTCAGTTTTGAGACAATAATACCTATAGTGTCTACAGAGATCTTAATGCAAGACCTTATGTACATCTTTGGTATTGAAATTTATGGCATGCATTATAGAAGTTTTAAAGTTATTGTAGCATTTATTAACAGCAAAGATTAAGATATTGTCTATTGTTCAATGAATAATACAATACAAAAGTTTGCTTTTATTGAAATTACTTTATAATAATCGATTATTCATCAAACAGTAGACTATGAAAGATTGTGTATTAGAAAAAATATAGAAAGAGAGAATTATATAGTGTATAAAGCATAAATTATTGTTTCTTGTACTTTCTGATCATAATTCTGCGACTATTTTCCAGGCTCCTCTTACTCAACCAGGTCATTAGATCTTCAGATATGGCTTTAACACAATCACTCCCAAAGGTCAAGAGCGAATGGCTGAAGTAACCATTAGTCATTTTAGTGGTACCGACCAAACTGAGAGCTGATTTAACGTAATTCTTTGCATTGGGAGCGAAGAAAGAAGTTCTGCGGATTTTACTCATATTGGTCGCGACGAATCCAGGGTTGACGCATTGTACTATGATACCTTTGTTACTATATTCGGCTGACAGACCTTCTGAGAACTTTGCAACAAACGCCTGTAAAGAAGTAACAGCTGTAATTAAAGAGCCCTACAAGATTTTTTACTGTTCCTTGCACAGAAATGATGGTGTAATTATGATGGTGAACATTTAATTTTTCATCATGAGTAGTGTGATAAGATTTCAGTTTAGAACTCATCACCTACAAGGTAAAATGTAATAACTGGATTGGAATCAAATAATGTCCTTTGGACGTCTTTTCGATATGATCTTGATTTGATTACAAATCGATTGCATCAAAAGCAATTCCGCTGAGTATTTGAAATTCAAACCAAACAAACCCGCGGATTTGCCTGTTAAATTAGGATATGACTATCAATGTAGCCAATTTCATTGGATCAGCTTAGTCATTTATGCGTGATTGAGTAACAAATGTATACGGTGACTCTTGCCGCATAGGAGATGCACAGAAACCTTGGCACGCGCTGTACGCGGTCAGTGTGTAGAGAAACTCATTCGGCCTATGGTTCCAAACTTAATGCATTCCTTTATTTTCTACAATATATACCTATTACTGTACATAATATAACACCATATAGAATGTGTAAAAAATAATATTACAATTGACAGCCTTACCTTAGAAGCAGCGTAAACTGTTAGTAATGCAGCTGGCAACTCAAAGGAGCCAGAACCAACGTTTATAACAATACCCTTGCCTCTCTTCACCATGTCAGGTAATACTAGGGCTGTCACACGGACCATAGATACGATGTTCACATTTATCAGATTCGATATAATGTTATGCCTGAAAAAATGTAAGTCATATTAGATATAGATATCATAATTATAGATATATACAGTATGGGGGAAAAGAAATGTAAATAATAACCAAACAATAAGGTTCTAACCACTTCATTACTAGTTATCCCTACACCGAACCTAGAAGGACCACGCGGTTCGCCCTTAAAACCATTATATTTTATTGTTGTTCAATTTGATACGATGGGCCAACCAACCTGCTTTCAGATTCACTTGTCATCTCTTATTGGTTCTATTAGGAGCCTAATCATTTAGTGAAGCCTGACCACTTGATGACTTTATCAATCTATAAATACTGGGAGTCGCACGCACACTGATTGTAGCGGAATTAAACAACATACATCTAATTATTTTAATCAAAAAACCATTTTTATTTAGTGAAAATGTTTCGTTTAACTGAATTCTTATCATCCTTCGAAGGGAGTGTTCTACCAGAAAAACTGACTATACCGAAGAAACATGTAACAGCCGTTAACTGTCTACTGCTAAATATAGCCTCTCTTATAAAGGGGGTTTTGCCAATAGTTGCCACGCTTAGCAGGCGGGTTGGCAATCGCAGTTTAGTCTTTGGTGATATTTTAAGAGGAACGCCTTAGTCGCCTCTTACGACACTTACGGGAAAAAAGGGATGGCCTATTCTATGCCGAAACTACACGGCGAAATATATTCAATAGAATGGGTTAATTCTTAGGTTTACGTAACGCTAATGATTCTGATATTATCCTATAAATAAAAACTAAAATTTTATTCATTTGTGTTGCTTTTCCTGGGAATTTGAATGATACACGTATATAGTTAACAGTTGCAATTAATAAATCGTTACCAAGTGTCTAATTATAAAATAGTAGGTATATGTTTTAGGGAAGTTCTCACAAGTTCCACGTAAAGCCACAGCGCTTTCTTCCAGTATGTAATATATTTTGGTTATATATAATATATTCATAACATATACGTGTATTTGCTAATATTATTTACGCATGAAGTATGGTGTGCATAAAAAATTACTGTAATAAATAAATAAAACAAACAGAGTTTCGTGCCTCCAATCAAAATGTTTATAATTACTATTCTCCATCCAAGGTTACCTGGAAGAGATCGCTCTTAGTGATAAGGCCCATTATTTTCTCAATGTAATATTTTATCTTAATTGTATGTATTATTTGTTTTATAAATTTACTAATGTACTCCTTTGGAGAAAACAATAAAGAGTATCCATCTATCTATAATAATTATTATTCATTTTATGCATAGTAATATACTTTTATAATTATTAAAATATCCTTAACAGCATTTAGCAACTTTTAAAGGTTTCCAAGTTTTTCTTTATTAATTCGTAATTATCTAATTCTCTCCTAAATAGAAAAAATCATAATTTTCTCTGTAGAAGACACTAATTTATTCATTACTAGCTGTATCCCGTGGCTTTATCCGCTTTAATCAATATCTAATGTATCCTATATTTTAAATTAGGATATAATCTACCCGTGCACCAAATTTAATTCAAATCCATTTATTAATATTTGCGTGAAAGAGAAACAAACATCCATCCAATCATCGTTACGAATTTTTGAATTTATAATATTAATAGGATTAGGAGAATATTTCAGAAAGATTGAATTATATTTTTATAAAATAATATAACTGTTATATTGCAAGACAAATCAACAATAAAAAGAATTACTTATTGCATACATTGTATTATTTCTAAAATTTGTAACATGTTTCGTTAATTTGATTTATCATTGTTTTACACCAATGAATTGAAGGTCTTTTTTTAAATAAAATGCCTAATCAACTGATATGTTAAATGAAACATTTCAATTAAACGTTGCTATTTTATTCGATGTTATATATCATTGCAAGAAATATCCTAAGTAGTAAAATGGACCAAAAAGGCATTAAAATTATGATATATATATTTTAAATCGTTAGGGATCAAAAATATTTTAAAATTATGTTACCAATATATTTTGTTTACCGGACACAAGTCCATTGTAATTACAAGTTTATTTATGTTCAAAGTGTAATGCTACAGAGGACTCCTCACAACTATGGGCACCATTAGGCGAGATTAGCCATTAGTGGGAATGTCAGGAGCGGTAATTATATTAATTTTGGGGACACAGTAAAGTTCACGGATTACGAAACTGAGTAGGGCTCAACAAATGTTTATATATATAGATCTGTTTTAAGTAAACGCGAATAAAGTTAAGCAAGCTGTATAATCGTCAGCAGTAATGAGAAATCGCGGCAAAGCTAGCGTAATATTTATGATGATTACATTTAGAGTAGCTGATAGTGATTGCCTAAATTAAACTTGTAAGAAAGACTAATATTACTAATGTAATATTTAGTAATTATTTATCAAATACTATAAACCGTCATAATACTATATTAGCTGTGTAGGTATCAATATAGAATGGGTCACCCCTTCCTTTCCCGTGGATATCGTAAGAGGCGACTAAGGGAGCTTATGGTGGAGGGATGGGCAGCAGCGTCTCTTTTAAAACGTCACCAAAAGCCAAACTCCGGTTGCCAAACCACCTGCTAAGTGTGGCAACTACTGGCAAAACCCCTTTTATGGGGGAAGCTATGTTCAGCACTGGACAGTTAATGACTGGTACGACAAATACATAAACAGAAGAAGTATATAGTCAATTTTTATAGAATTCTATAAAAATGTAAGCAAATTTTGTTAAATTCATAATAGAAACACTGTAATCTGTAAATGAGAATGATAAGAGTTCGAAATTTCCAATCATTTGATCGATATTTTATATCTATTGCTATTGGATATAAGTAATTTGGACTTTCATTAATTAGTAGATTATTGTTTGTTTATATTTTCAATATTTTCTACGTTTTTATATTTACCTCTGTATGGTTTTTACCTTTGAACATTCTAGGTATAATTTTCTTTCGGCTTCTGAAAGAATGACTCTAAGAGATCTATCTATAGGACAAGTCCGCCATTGAATATTAAATCTTTTAATGTGTCCAATGTAAATTATGTATAATAAAGATTTTACAATACAATACAAGATTCTACTGAATGAGACTAAATTCTGTATTAATCAAAGTACGATAAATCCATATACCAAGTTCAATTTAAATTCGTTTAGCCATTTACGCATAATTGAATAACAAATATGCTAACTCGATAGAAATTTTCACATATTACATTAGTATAAATACAATTAGTATGACATTGTTTTTGTCTTGTCACTCATAATATTATGTTATAACGAATTAAAATAAAAAAGTTTGGTAGGTGCGTAGTGTAATCTCAGCATAGAGTGGACCACTCCTTCCTTTTCCGTGGGTGTCGTAAGAGGCAACTAAGGAAACTTCAAGGTCAACAGCGTCTCTTTTTAAACATCACCTAAGCTTAACTGCAGTTGCCAATCCGCCTGCCAAGCGTGGCAACTAAACACAAAAAAGCGCAATAATAGGAGGCCCGTGGTCAGCAGAATACAGTTAACGGCTGATATGATGACGATGAATCAAAAAATAAATAGTATATATATATATATATATATATATATATATATATATATATATATATATATATATATATATATATATATATATATATATATATATATATATATATATATATATATATATATATACTAATATCCTAATAATAAAATATATAAATGAATGCGACATTGAACAGTTATGGAAGCTGTCTCATATCAGTGAAGATTCAGACACTTTCAAATTTGAGAGCGACTGCATTCCACGTTCATACAAATTTTCAGCACCAGGTGTATATAGACAGGCTCCTGCTTAAAATATGAGCTGAATTGAAATATCCGTATCGACACCTTTATGCAGAGGTTCTAAAACCCATTTTATTTTCTGTTTATTTTGAAAACAGAATATTCTCTATAGCAGCCTTTCCCAAAGTAGGCGATAACACCCCCTTGTGGGCACTGCAGGCCTAAAGGTGGGTGGCAAGAGACCCAGAAAAAAATGGGGGCGTTGTGTAGAAGCATGTGGGGGTGACTTGTTGATCTTGAAGTAATAGTGGTTTTTAAGTAGGTAATAAAATGAGGACGCTAAAAAATAATTTATTCTCAAAGTGGGCAGTAGATAAAATAAGTTTGGGAACCCCTGCGCTATAGTGAGACTGAATATTTTCCAAAAGAACGGTTTTCAAAAAATTACATAAAGTTGTAAAACTTTTATATTAACTTGACAGCTACAAACAACGTGTAACCTTTCATCTAGAAAGGTTAAAAATGTTCATATTTCATTATACGTTCCATTTCATTCGTAGAATACTCCTTTAAAAATATTTTTAATGATTTCTAATTCATCCAATACATGGGCTTTGTTTCCGGGTTCAAACTTACATATTAAATGAAATTGTTCTAATGAGAGTGATAATGTGCAACTTTATAAATGCTATTTAGTTACTTTATGCTATTTAGTTTAGATACTTCAACACTTCTCAATTTTTTTCTAGACCTCTATGTTTCTAGCGTTCACAAGTTGCGTTATTATCTACTTTGAGGACCAGTGCTTTTATAGAACAGATATTTCTGAACTCTTATATAACAAGCAGTGATTTTATAGTATCTGGCTTTTCTATGAATGTAACTACATTTGATGAAATAATAATATTTTTGTTCTAGATTGTAAAGATTTCTTTGTATCGAAGAACAAAGACAAAGAAAAGGTATATTTTACTCCGTAAAAAGTCGACTTCACCAACACACACACGCACACGCATACAAGGATAAATAACGAAAAGTTTCCTAGTGACTTGCTATCTTATTACGAGACACAGACTAAAGAAAATAACGGAGATATTACTTGTATAAACCATGTACCGAAATGAAATGAAATGAAATTATATACGAAAGAAATCCTTATTACAAAACGAAGTTCCTTATCGAGTCCTGTATAATCTATGGTTTAATTTATTACACGTATATAGATATAAATAGCAAATTCATACCAATCAGGCAATTCCAGGAAATATTCTGGATAAATATAAGACACGCCAACATTATTCACAAGAACTCCGATTTCGAGGTCTTTAATCTGGTTGGATAAAGTTTCATAAATTTCCACTCCTTGACTAAAATCGATTTGTACTATCTTTGTTTGTACTTTAAAGTCTTTCTCTGTAACAAAAATTAAATATTAATATTTCTTCAGAGTCGCCAACGCGTACATGGCAACCCTAGTGTCTATAGGCTACAGTGACAATTTACCATCAGACGGGGTATATGTTTTTTGACATCTTCGTGGTATAAAAAAAAAGAAAAATAAATGTGGCTATAAGATAAATAATTGAAAATCTGAATCTAAGGAAACAGTAGATTGTTATTAGTTGTAGGAATACTTAGTATAATTACCAGCAATATACCCTGCCAGGTTGATATTCCCCTCTGGAAACCATCGTGTTTATTCTAAATTCGTCACAGGTGCCAGCTTCATCACTTCATCCTCACCTATTTTTCTGGTACTTTGTCAGTATACACCAATAGGGTATTTTAGTTTTCATGTATTAAAAAATAACTCGGAAAAATACAGTCACGGTTTAAAGGTCAAACGATCGTAAGCGTCTGGTGACACAAAGTCAACACGCACTCTTAAATTGACAAGAATTACTAGAATAAAAACTACTATTAAAAAGTACTCAATGTAGATATTCCAATACGTTCCATAAAAATGAACAATAGAAGAAGAGTTGCCCAAAGAGAAGTCTTAACTGAACCATCGCTGCCGAAATTACGGTAACTCGTAACTCCAGCATTATGGCGAAGAGTCAGAACTCCGTGGAGTTCTAGCTGGTAAGAGTCCGGTAGTATCTACTTGTCTTCCTCAGGACGAGTATGTTTTTTGTTCTTTATGATGGATTTTCCGATGTATATAAAGAACTATTATAAAATAAGTATACATATTTGATAAATGACGAATTACCCCTTTATCATTGTCAGAAATTTATACCCCAACAAAATGTAAAGTACATTTTGTAAGCATCGACACACAAAGTACACCAGTGTCACTTCTATCTAGATTATTTATTATTATAGATTAACTGTATCTGAAAATTTTAAGTATTCACCTATTTCCTCCGCTGTTGCATTCAATTTATCCAACGATCGACTGACTAGAATTACATCACAACCATGCGCCGCCAGCTGGAGACAAAATAAAACTTCTTATTATGTTATTTGGTTAGCAATAGTTACTGTCTACGTAGACAGAGTTTATTAGCGTAATCAGCATTAATATCATTTTACTTTACAATTAGACACACACACACACACACACACGCATACATATAATAAATACAACGTTGTATCAATTTACAAAAATTCTTTGAATTAAATTTCATACTATATAATTAAGATTTTGTTCCACAAAAAACTGATTTCAATTGTGGCAAAACCGAACTGATTTAGATAATATTCCTTTGACATAAATTTTTAAATATATCCTTTTAGATAATAATAAAAAAAAAATTATACAACTTAGAATGGCAAACAATCTGACGGCCCATCTGATGGAAAGTGGTAACCGTCGCCTATAGATATGAGCAGTACCCTGGAAATAACAGAGTATACTGTTTCGCTCATGATACCTCCCATGCGTTGCCATTCCTGAGGACTCAGATGTAATTCCTCTGTACCCTGTACATTCACGCCATATCCCACCCTTCAAACCGAAACACAGCCATGCAAACACAACTGCTTTATGGTTGAAACACGAATGGGACAGAGGTACCCAAGCAAACGACTTTTGTACAAAGTCTGGTAAAACTCAAATGGTTTATAATTCACGGAGTTACTTATGAGCTAACAAACAAAAAGAAAGTACAATCGAATTCAGAATCTCCTTCTTTTGAAGTAAGATTCAAAATATATACCCCGTTTCTTTCTTTATGTAAATTAAACTAATATAATAGGTAATAACGAGGATTAGGTCCCATTGCTAGCAATATAATCTGTCAGGTCGACTTGCGCGCGGTATTACGTAAAAACTATCGTTTACTTTCCTGGTAAATTCATCACGGCGTGTCAACTGACCCGGTTTCATTGCCTATCACTTCTTATCTCTCTAGTGTAAAATAATAGCGCAGGTGGTATTGCCATTCCATTTTAATTCATAAAAAAAATATATTAAATAAATTAGTTTTAAAACGCTGCCAGATTTAACACTTTTATTTTTAATCGACTTCAAAAAAGGTTCTCAATTCACTTGTTTTTTTCGTTACCTCAGAACATTGTCGTTTATAAACAAATTTGGAAAATTATTATTTTTTTATTTCAAAGAATACACTTTTAGATTAGTCCCATAAAGTTTCATCAAATTAAACTAACTGGTTTTGTCACGATGAAGTTGGTGTTTTTTTTTTATGAAACAGAATCTGCTAGTTTATTGAAATGTTTAATTATATATACATAATTAAATATTCCAATAAACCACTTAATGTTCTCCAATGTGCCACAGATCTAGGTAATAGTAGATTAACATACCTGTCTAGCATACTCTTTGCCGATTCCATCTGTGCTGCCTGTCACCACTGAAACAAAATATAAATAATTGAAAAAAAAAACTTATACATTTTGCATTTATAATAAAATATTTACTTATTGTAAACCTTACAAATTTATTTTTGTTATTTGCCATTGGAGGGGGAGGGGAAAGAAGCGGTTGCCAATAGTCGCCACACTTGGCAGTCGGGTTGGCAACTGAAATTAGGCTATGCGATGTTTATTTTAGCTTTGGAACGTTTAGATGGAGTGATGCTCTCAAACACATTGCAGGGTTGTATCAATCTGTGGATGCAGGTGGTTCGGGATCGTTCTTTATGGCAGTCTACGGGGACGGTCTATTTTCAACGGTATACAGTTAATGGTAGAAAAGAATTAATTAATAACTAATTATTATACAATATGAATGTGAGTTCGTTTGTTTGTTACCTGTTTGCACCTAAACGGCTCAACCAGTCATCATTATATACATGTAGTATTTAGAATAGTATAATACAATAATAGACGACCCCCCACTAGATGAAGTGACGACCTGAAATTCATTGCAGGGAGTCAGCGGATACAGGGACCCCCCTGTATCTACTATTATTTTAATTTCGGCATTAGCTATTAATACAGCTATTATTTAATTATTAATATAGTTGGGTAAATCTAAAAAAAAGTAAGAATATATTTATAAAATTATTAGTCTTAACATGTATAAAACACCATAATGGTTCCTTCGTACTTTTTGGTACGGAACCCTAATATTGTAAATAGTAGAAATGATCCTACTGTCTATTTGGTGTATATATTCAAAGGATTATTGTGCATTGCACTGCATCCACTTAGCCAATCCAACCAGACAGTCATACACATATATACCAATAGAGCTAAATTGACAATTTATGCTGAAGCATAATTTGCATTGATATCTGCAAGTCAGCACCATCAAATGCAAATGTTCCTTATATTGCATTATGTGTGTGAAAGCGTGTCAATATATTTATGCATATTAAATATGATACTTAATTGCAATATTAAGGAAAAGTATACATAAGTTGATGCACAAAAAACTGTTAGGTTGACTGGAAGAAATCTCTTTAGATAGATTGATAATTTATTTACATTGCTCGCTATATAATAGATAAGTTCGCCTTTGCTAACATTGTTATTAACTTAATGTTGTTACTTTATATATTTACATATATATAATCCTAGGAAAACGAATATTATTACAATATAATAGTAACATTAACAAAATAAATAAAATCAATGAAGTGTAAATTCATAACGAAATGTTCCTAATACATGCAAGCTGTAAAACTTTTGAATTTCGAATTTGAAATCGTTTGAATAAATAAATTTGGTCACAAAGTCGAATTATTTATTCTCTCAAGAAATACGGTTGCTATAATAGTGACGGAATTATTATGAGAAATGGGAGTTAAAGCCTATCGCCATATAAATACACATGGATTTCGGAGGCTTCTTCTTCAGACAGATAAGTCAGTTTAGGTTTAACCTAGATATTCAGGATAGCAATCATATAGAAGTTTAGTGTACACACTCCACGCGGATAAAGTCGCGGGTGCAACTAAATAGTTATAAGTAATGACTACGCGGATTGTTGGACTTTCTCAGCAAATTCTGTAGCTGATAAATTAAATCATAGCAGAAACAACTTTGTTACAATAGCTTAAGTCGTATTTTCCCTTGAATTTGCCACACGTGAAGGTGAAAGCTATTTACAGAGTAATGTTGTATTACCGTTGGTTATGGCAAAATAAATGAAACTTTATGGCCTTTGAAATAACGTTTGTTTCTATATGATACGATACTTTGTTGTGAATATGTGTCGCTGACCAGTTTTGACCATGAGCGAATAGATGACGAATGCATGTAAAATGATACTTCATTATTATAATTTATGTATCTAATTCTCTTTTATAATTTTTGAACAACTTTCATTAGAAGAAGATATTCAATTCGTTTGTTTTTTTTGTTGCTATGTTATTTTTTTATGTAGGTAATTGCGTTGATTACCTGCATCATTAAATCTGAACCGTTATAATATTACGATTTTAATAGCTTTTGTGACGATGTTTTTTCAAATTTTTACAGAGCAAAAATCTTCATATTTCTAATGAAAATCCTGTATGGAGGGGAGGAATTGTTAGTAATGCGGATTACTAGTCCTATTGCAAGTAATATACCCTATCAGGTTGAACTCCACGTGGTCGCTTCTGGAAAGCATCGTACTGAATTGTAGGTATATTTATCACGATGGGCTAACTGACCTGTATTTATCCTCACCTTCATCTCTCACTGGTGCCTTGTCAGCATATGTCGTTAGCGCAAGCGGGATTACCATTCCATTATTATCCATTTTAGGCGTCCATTATTACGAATCAAAGTCCAGCTGCAGGTACAAAATACTGCGTTTTAAACTTTAATATCATAAATCTAATGTGTCTACGAAATATCTCGTCATTCATTGCTGTATTTCGTATTCACGATTGAAGTTACTTTTTTATGTAGCAAACAGTATTACTGAATGTGTCTAATTTATTTTCATTATTTTCAAATAACCAAATATTATCAGAATAATGGTAGTTTAAAATTTACGGTTAGATATTAATTAAACGCTGTAACCCACATCAGAAATCTGAAACCAATTTGTATAGACACAAACCCGAAATTTTAACATACAAACACTACATATTTTAAAACAATTTATGTACTCTGATAAATAAATTCGCTTTCTGCTAAGTACTGGTTAAAATATAGTGACATCGATTAAAATTCCAACAAAATTCACGTAGATCTTAAGTACGGCATGGCATTTCAGTAATTTCATTATCTTGAAAACTTAAATTTTTGCTCATAATTACAGCAATAATTTTGTCATTTTCACTCTTTTTTTTTAATTACTTAGTAACATTACTTACATAAAGTTAGAGTTAGTAAAGGCAAAGATATTCGTAAAGAAGATTATATTATATATGTATATTTTTAACTTATAGACCTCTTGGCTTTATAGCAATTGTCTTGCACCTAACGTCAAACTCAAATCCGCGAGTTTACATGGCATTTTTTCTTTTATATTCGACTAAGAGAAGTTATTTGTCTGTCTCTCTTATAAGCTTTTAATTAAGTAGCTATATTACGTGGCAACATATGAAGGCTACCATGAACGTTATAGTATATTCTATGCGGGAGGAAAGGGATTGTTAGTAATGGGGTCTAATTGACCCATTGCTAGCAATACACCCTATCAGGTCGAGCTCCACGTGGTTCCCCCTAGAAATCATCATGATTAATTCTAGTAGAATTCATCATGATGAGCTAATTGACCTGCTTTCATGGTCATCTATCATTCGTCACTGGTGCCCCGCCAGCGTATACCGATAGCGCAGGCGGGGTTACTATTACATTATCACCCATTAAAAAAAATATATTCTATGCTGTTCAAGTCTATAAGCGACTATCACTTTCCAGCAGAGGTAAAGAGGTTTCTTCGGGGACGGCAAAGGGCGTGTAATACTCCTAGTATTGCAAGCATTCATAGGCTGCGGTAACCGGTTACAATCAGGTGGGCCATCATTTTCTTTGCCTTTATAAATATCATAAACAAAAATTTTAAGTTTTCCGCTCAAAATTTGCAATCTATTATTAATTACTTGCTGACCGTCTGATTGTGCCAAAATTTAGCATACTTATAAAAATATAATTTCTTTTTAAATAAGTAATATTATTAAAGTATTATTATTATGCAAGTTTGGTCAAAACCAAACTTGCATAATAATAATATGTTGTATATAATATATCAAAATGCAATATTATGGTACCATAGAATTGTTCTGACGATGAAGACGTAGGGTAGCTATGGAAACTTATAAACTACCCATGATGAATGCGTCTTTTTAGGGTTACGTACCTCCTAAGGAAAAACCTCTTAAGGGTTCGCCTTATAGGATTACTTCGTTATCCATCCGTACATCTGTCAAGACCCTTTTCCATAGATATCAAGTTAAAATTAACATCATATACTGGGATCTGTAACCTCTCACAGCAGTGAAAAAAATCAAGCTTCTAAATCAACGCAATCAATAGATATGGCCGTTTATATTCTATTTATATTGCATATTTTGACATTCGCAAAGAGAATCAATCCTATAGGGTACTTCCCGTTGACCTAGAATCATTAAATTTAGCAAGACGCAATGTCATGGACCACAAGTAAAGTAAAAAATTCGAAAATCGTAAATTTGTAGTTATTTCACAAAAAAAACTTGATAATTTTGTACAGAACCCCCGTTGCACGAGTCCGACTTGCACTTGACTGGCTTTTTATTTCTGTATTAATATAGTACAGTTAAATAAACGAAGAAAAAAAAAAACAAATAATCAAATACGGGTTCTCTGACGAATAAATCCGGCTCGGGCTCCACAATCTTGGATAAATCCGACAGGGGCGGTTAAAACGTCATTAAAAAAAAAGTAAGAGGATCACAATTTGCTTGCATGTTTATCAACATACATCTAACATTCACAAGTTTTTATTTATTTTATTTTTAATGTAATAATATAAATAATAATGGTACATACGGCGAAATTAATACCTTACGGCATTTTTATTTCAATTATAAGGTATTTAATTGCCACTTGTTCCGTATGGCCAGTATAATGAAAATTTACTAGAATAAATAGTATACTTTATCACGGATAATATAATACTGTATTAGACTATATGTTTTTTTATCTTAAATAGAAATTCATCCAGTAAGCTATAGTCTGTCAAACGACTTCATATTGTAACCCCATTTGTTAACACGAAGTACAAAAAATCCTAACACACTCTTCAATCAGAAGACACTAGGATCTGTGTTAAGTGAATCTAACTTCATTTAACTTAGCTCGCTTAGCTTAGCGAATAGTCAACAATGCAAGATTGCAAGCTAAGCAAAGCTATGTAAACTGAACTATCTGGGTTCACAATGAAAATTACCCATAGTAACCACACCATATATACTAATGTGTATATGGT